TCATATCCATTCCAAACCCGCCCTCCGTCCCCACTGTCGGAGCAGTCGGCAAGTAGGAACTGAGGGGCCGCCGGGACGGCTGGGGGACTATTTCAGCGCCATGAAGGCGCCACTCTAGGGGGCTCCACAGCCGACCCGCCGGTGTTGCTAGGGTAAAAATCTTCCGACGATCGTGCACGCGGCGCGCACACACCTAATGGAATGGATATGAGCAACACATCTCGAAGAACAACAGTTACAACGGTGAGTAACCGTCTTTTCTCTTTTTCATTTGTCGAAATCTTAACCCACGTGTAATGAAGATTTTAGTCAGGGAATTTCCTTATTTTTTAAATTTTTTTCTGAAATGAATCGCCCTCAATTGGCATCGATCCATCCATCCATCCATCCTCGTCACCTTCACGCCGGTCTATTTATCCACCTATCCCTATACACACTCCTGTTTTGATTCATCCATCCCGTGCAACATCCCCTGTGTGGCCACCCACCTATTCTGCAATGTTCTCAGGATTTTCCCACTTCAGTTATCCACCTTCGTTAAGATTGCCACCTAGAATGTCCTGAGTTCACCTCTACCTTGATATAACGCTGTCCTCGAGAGCCAAAAAATCTTACCGCGTTATATCAAATTTGCTTTGAGCCGCCGGAGTGCGCAGGCCCGCCCCCCCCCCGGAGCACTGCTTTACCGCGTTATATCGGGGTAGAGGTGTATCTATCCCCTTATATTTTTCTCTAGCTAATCAACCTCTCTTTCCCCAGACATGCCTCTGTATCTAACCGATCAATCAAATTATCTAGCTTTAGCTCCCGTCACATCCTCTCTCTATCTTTCTCTGTACCCTTATATAGCGAGTCTTAGGCATATCTCTCCTCTGCCCCCTCCCGATCCTCATACAGATTTGCCACCCTGACCCTAGCCCCCCGGCCCCAGGCCTGGCTGTATCTTTCTGGCTGTAGAGTGGTCTGATCTGATGGTGCCATTTTTCAGTGAGCTCTCCTCAGCTGTGTGAGTGTGAATCTAGCGGAAATTCCTGCCTTCCCATGCCCGGATACTGCAAAAGCTTTTCCCACTCTGAGCAGAGAGCGGCAGGGGAGGAAACGTGTAGGGGGAAGCCAAACGGATCTGGCACAGAGCAAGGTCTCTCTGTCTTCTCTCCTCCTGGCTCTAGCTGCTGGGGGGGTGCGGATGGTTTGGCGTTGGGGGCTTGAATTGTTCAGTTCAGGGACTAAAAATCCTGTTTTGTTTTTGTTTCTCCCCCTTCTGGCTGTGGAGTCGGTCAGTGTCGCAAGAGAAAACCCACTAAAGGCACAGAGCATGTAAGTAGCCGGGGTCCCCCCTCTCTGGGGTGGGGTGGCGGGGGGGAGAAAAGCCCTCAGGAACTTCTAGGGAGATCAGAAAGACAGGCTCCCCCCTCCCCACTTTTTCCTGTGCTCCCTGAGCAGAACGAAACAAAACGCAGGTCAGCGGGGGAAGAAAAGGGGGGGGAGATTTGTGGGCTCAATCCAGTGCAGGCTGGCGTGGGGTTTCCTCCTTCCAGTGCTGGGAGCTGGTTTCGAAGGGGGCAGGGGATGCGGGGAGGCCAGGATGCTATCACCTGGGAGCTGCTGACAGATAAGAAGGGCCTGGGCTCATTGGGATTCAAAAAGTATTGGTTCCCCCCCGCCCCACCACCACCATCATGCCTCCTTCTCCTCTGCCACTGAGCTGTCGGGGTGACCTTGGGCATGTCTCTTTGCCCCCCAACCCCTTTTGTGCTGAGCTCACAGGGGTGGGGACTCTAGGTGTCCACCCAGCACACCAGGGGCCCTGATCTGAATCAGCGGGTGTGGGGGGGTCTGCAGCGGCCGAGCACAACGGGGGGCCCTGATCTTGGTTGGGAACGGGGCCGGGGGTGTGTGTCTCAAGCAGCAATTTTCATCTTCTGTCTCTCTCCGGTCATTCGTACTTCCTGCTTCTCTCCGGCTTTTGGGTCTCCGACAAGGGCAGAGGAATTCAGACACCTCTCAGCACTGCCGACAGGCCCGGAGGCAGACTGGGGACCTCCCCTCCCCCTTGTGTTGGGTGCTACAAAGATTCCCCCCCAACCTAGATTAGGGGCCCCCCATTGTGCCCCTTGCTGCAGAGACACCGAGAGAGAGGCCCTGCCCAGTCCGCCCAGAGAAAGGTGCGATTACGCCCATTTTACTGCTGGGGGAAACTGAGGCAGGAGTCAGCAGGAATGACCCCACAGCGGTTCCTGGGCGTGATCCCACCGGAAGGGTTGGTAGGCTCTGGGGATGCGAAGGGTTAACCAGAAGGGGTTTGGAGGGGGTGGCATTTAGACAATAAAAGGGGCGGCCTGGGGAATTTCTGTCTCCTCTTGGATGGATCTTGCCGCTTGCCGGGAAGTTTCAGCTTCTCTGCTCCGAGTGCCGGGCACAACAGGGCCCTGATCCCAGCTGGGGCAGGGTCTGTCTCTCGCCGTGTGTCTGGGCAGCGCCTGGCACAACAGGGCCCTGATCCCAGCTGGGGCAGGGTCTGTCTCTCGCCGTGTGTCTGGGCAGCGCCTGGCACAACAGGGCCCTGATCCCAGCT